TTCTGATACCCTTCCCACACCTAGAATATTCTCCCTGCATTTTTAATATGTTTATTTTTTCTAGTATCTTCTCAGTTTTTTTTCTTATACCAGTTGAATTTGTGTAACAACTGAAGTGGTTTTTCATATAAGAGTGTAACTAGCACATAGAAAGGAAGATTGGCTTTGCCGGCTTTTGCATTGATCCTACAATGCCAACCCTCTATATCGTTGTTGGTTCCAACTGAGTTTTGAACCCAGACCATGATTCAACCGACAAAGTGGTGTTTGTAATCCATTTGACTTCACATAGTCAACCCAACTGTATAACTGGGGAATCTTCGTGTATTGTTTCTAAAAACGGGCAAAGGCAGGGGATATATGTTCTGCAGGGAAAAATGGTAGCGACATTACCTTAAAAAGACACATATGGAGGATAATACAATGAAAAGTTGTCAACCAATGACAAAGATATCATTCAAAATGCAAATTAGCAAATTCATTAGAGTTTCTGTATTAATTAATATCTTTCTGCAAAACTGAAGAAAATCTTTTCTTGATTGTAGGTTGCTCTCAGTTTTAGCCACAACCATATGAAATGCATAGCCGTGGATAGGCAATACTGGATACACACGCCGGAATGCTAGCCAGATACCTAAATAAATAAGAAATAAAGTGATGACGATGAAGAAGTATAAGTGTATGTTAAGAAATATAAAAAAAAAATAATTGTTAGGAACTATGTTTTAACTTAATGGTAAAATGAGATAATACCGAAAGCTAACATGAACATTGGGTATACGAACATATAAAATGGCTACAACTAGCTATAATCAAGAAAAATAGTTCATCGGTAAAAACACACAATATAATTTGTTCGCTAATAATTGGAAAATAATTTTTAAAAAATATGTCATATTAATATTACGAGGCTAGCAACAACAAATAAAACCACTACTACTACCTATACTGTTACGCATATGTAATTAAATTGCTTGTGTGTTAGTTTTCAAATCGTTTTTATAATTTATTTTGTTTTATTATATGTTATTGAAGTTATAATTTTCATTGGATTTAAATCTTTTTCTCAGAAAATTAACTTAACCTAATTGGAACGTAATAGTTACTTTATCATTGTTTATAGCCGACCTTGGTTCGCAAATTCGTAAACACTAAGTGAAAATTATTGGCTATTCCCAAGGGCATGTCCGGCCTACGTGTTACCCATGTGTAAACAGTTTTTTATTTTATTTTTTATTTCTGAAGTGAGAGTCTGTTGTTATTATTATTATTATTATTATTATTATTATTATTATTATTATTATTATTATTATTATTATTATCATTATCATCATTATCATTATTATTATTATTATTATTATTATTATTATTATTATTATTATTATTATTATTATTATTATTATTATTATTATTATTATTATAAATTGCGTTAAACATGATAACAATATTATCATTGTCTCCATTAGATGACGACGATATGTTTTGCAGGAATGCTTTGGAAAAACAAAAAAAAAACATTGTAAGAAACAATAATTGACTTTACGTCCAATCTGCTTGTAAAGAAATCGTTATAAAATGAAAAATATCTGTATAGTTACCTTCTTATAATCCATTTTTTTTCCGTCCTGACATTAAAGCGAACGCCAGTGGCAGCTACTTTGTTTCATGCTTGTCATTTCTGACAAAAGCGTGCACGCAAAAAAAAAATGCTTAAATGGGACCCTGGTTATTTTGAAGGTAGCATCTGTGTACCAGACTTTGGCTCTTCCCAAAATTTCATGCAGTTTGTCAGTGACCAATAAAATGTGACGTTTACTGCCAACATGAATGTCTTTTCGAAGAAATTTGTCTGGAAACTGATTTATCCAGCTGAAAGAAATAAAACAAGGAAATAATAAATATTGAAGGGCCTGGTGTACGAAACCAAAATATTAATACATAATAACTTGTGCTACTTACAAAAAAATTCTAAGTCGTGTGGCTCATTTGGCCGCTGTTTCTGGCGGGTCCGATTGGCATCTGTAATTAACAGCTCTGGTTTAGGCAGAAAGTGACTATCCTTTGGCACTGTTTCCTGCATTACTCTGCCGAATTATATTTATGCTGTCCCGCTACACTCTTCACCTACGGGATATATTACAGAAAACGTGAGGGATACAAATAAAAAAATAAAGATCGTAAAGTGGAATGTTATCTTTCAACGATGTGTATATCAAAGATTAATTACACTTACAATGATTTTCGTCTTAAAAACAATGAACATTGACAGGTGCAGGGTAATCAGCGATTGTGTATTATGAAATTACCAAGAGTTTGTGGACATGCAACTAACCCCCAATGACCCCTTAACCTTCGAGACGATCCCTGGATCGATGCTATGTACATGCCATTGTTGTCCTCTCTCCTAAAAAATCCCACGTTGTATTATGGTTGCTTGTCATCGCATCTTCATAGAGCCTACAGCGCCACCAGTAAGTTACGCCTGCCCTTTTACGCTGTAAGAAAGATTTTTTAAAAAAATTCAAATGTACGAATATCACGGCTAGCACCACCAACACTACTACTACAACTACTACTACGACCAATTACGATGATGACATTATGGCAATCGTCAATGTTACTACTGACCTTGACAGTGTATGGATATCCATCAGCCTCCACAAGTTTCAGACGAGACATCTTGAGACCAGTAAAAGAGTTCTGAAAGTCTGGTTGACGTTCATGATTTTGTCTGAGCTGTAACGTCAGTTTATGTATAGACCTGTATGTAAAGATTAAGATTCGATTTCGTGAATAAAGAATATTTCAATCGAACATAGTAAGTTTCTGATACTGTGCTATTCTAGGTTTTATATATTATGTTTTCTCCAGAACACTAGGAAGCTACTCATAATATGTAAGTTTTGTTTGTAATTGAACAGAAATTTACATTCCAACATAATAAAATTCTCAAATATTATAAAAGAATAATTCTTCTTCTTGATTTTCTGTGACTTGGAAGGAAGCATATTATGTTAATGGTTCATATCACTTCTGTATCATGGGACGCTGTCAAGATATGAGAACTAACATTTGTTGGGAATCTGAAGAACAAAAATAGAATAGTTCAGTGGTTAGCTAATGTGAAAACACTGCACATTTATTACGAATATGTTTCTTTCATTCAAATCAATCAATTAAGGTGAAATAAATAAATCTTACTGAACTGAAAAGTTGTCAATCGGCATGTCAGAATCGTTGACATTGATACTAAAGTCAGCATTCATTGTCTCGTATATAAGATCACTATATGTAGGAATGTGGACATCATGCCTTTTATCAGCAGTCAGAGGCGTACTCTTTGAAATATGCAAAACGTTCACCATATTGTCGAAACTGTCATCTGTCAAAGTGAGTGGTTGAGGAAGTCGGGAACAGCCCTTGCAAGGCCAGACACTCGGCGTCTCATCATCACGACATAACTGTCTATACAGTGTCTGATACGCCTAAGAAGAAAACCAAAAACATCAGCAGTAATATTAATATTATTTTAACAACCACCAGCAGTACTTTTACTACCATTAATAATAATAATAATAATAATAATAATAATAATAATAATAATAATAATAATAATAATAATAATAATAATAATAATAATAATAATAATAATAATAATAATATGATTATACATACCCGTACCACATGTACGATTCTGCCACTTTTGGCAAGCGTTGCATTGTAAAACATGTTGCCGTGGTCATACTCTTTGGAAACAAACTACACAGTTGTCCATTTCTTGATTGTGTTTGCTTGTATGTGCTGATGTCTGACGATTTCTTACAACACTTTATTTTTTTTTAAACCAACTCAACTATTTATATCTATAACGCGTTTTCTTTTAAAATGTTGTTTACAGAGAAGTATTATAAATGTAGCTTCATTTACTGATATAAATAGATAGAACAATATTGACATAAACTGAGATAGAGAACAAACGCAAATTGCACAATACCTGACGACAAGCAATATGGGGTGGAACCTAGGTCAATTGTAACCGACAAAGGAGAGTAAGAGCAGGGACAATTTATTTCTTGATTGTGTTTGCTAGCATGAGAGTAAAAGCAAGGACAATTAATAACAATGTATGCGAGTCCATTTCTTGCTTGTGTTTGCTTGTATGAGAGTAAGAGCAGGTACAATTCATAATAAAGTATGCGTCCATGAGAACTATTTAATGATATTTTTTTTCGCCTAATGACTGAATAACATAGCCCTCGTATAATTATTTAAAGCAAAACAAAAAAAAATAATAATAAACATACACGTGTGAAAATGAATTAAGCTTGAAACTCAAAGCTTACTAGATATCTGTAGATTTTAATATTTGATAACTTAACATTTCAATAATGCTTATTATCTATTATATTTGTACTTTAGGATAGAAAAGACTATAGTATTGGGACCGCTCCGGTGGCCTAGTGGTTCGAGCCTCCGCCTCTGATGCGAGAGGTCGTGGGTTAGATCCCCGATCAGTCATACCAAGGACTTACACAAATGTACTAACAGCTTCCTCGCTTGGCGCTCAGCATTATTAGGTTTGTGTTAGGACTGGTTGGCCTGGTATCAGGATAATGTGACTGGGTGGGACATCATGCTACATGTCTCAGTGCTAGACATCACAATAAACTACCACATTGCAGACATTGTAGCGATATGACTCAAAATTGTTTTAAAAAGCTACGTTAAAAATCATAATCACATAATCACTATAGTATTGGGTACGAAACGACCAGCACCTTGGGTATGAAGCGACCAGTACCTTGGGTACGAAACGACCATTGCTTTGGGTACGAAACGACTCATTTGAGCACGAAACAGCCAGTTACGGAATGACGTCAGAACTTATTCTCAAAGTTGATATCTAAATGTAATACATCTGCTTGGCTCCAGCATCAATATCTCCACAACCAATGAAGATACCTCAAATAAAATTAAAGAACAAGCATTATGGAGTGGAATGCGTGGTGCAGTGGTAGAGTTTCTGACTCCAGAACAGTTGGTCGCGGATTCAATCACCGCCGTGACAATTTTATTTATCCTTGAGCAAGATAATTAATCATCATTGCTTAGTACTTGTTCTACTAGGAAGACAGCGAGAGTGATTAATTTAAATTCTAAAAACTTGTTTCGCAATCGATGTATATAAATGTGTTTAAACTAAGCATTTCAAACGATGTGCTTTAAAAAAATGACAACAGAAAATAATAAGCCATGTTTTTGTCCACCCAACTTCACATTTATGGGTGGGGGTGGTGTTAAGCAAGAGTTAGGAGTCGATTGTGCCTCGGATGAGCGAGGGTGCTTGTAGTTATTTTATTAGCTCACCTGAGCAACTGCTCAAATACCGCTCTGGTGGCCTAGTGGTTAGAGCGACCCGCCTCGGATGCGGGAGATGGGTTCGATCCCCGGTCGAGTCATACCAAAGACTTACAAAAATGGTACTAACAGTTGCCTCGTTTGGCGCTCAGCATTAAGAGGTTAGCGTTAGGACTGGTCGGCCTGGTGTCAGGATAATGTGACTGGGTGGGACATCATGCTACATGTCTCCGGCATGATGCCCCAGTGCTAGACATCACTAAACGCCACTGCAGACATCGTAGCGATATGACTGAACAATTGTTAAAGCTACGTTAAAAATCATAATCATATCATACCGCAACTGCCCAGATGAGTTGCTCAGGATGGTCTGTTGCTTGTCCGTCAACCGTTTAGCTTATGTGCATTTTTGCGTTTCAGTATACATACAATCTTAATCAAACAAGCTTGAGAACAACTTGTATTTAAATAATATATCCGTTCCCGTTTTTAACCAGCAATATCCACTTTTATTAAGCAGAGATATTAAACCTTTTACTTTTAAATTGTAATAATTTACATATTTATTTTTTTAACCAATTTTAACCAAACTTGGCAGCAAGTAAGTTATTGCCCGAACACTTCATCTCCTTCCTTGAATTTGCAATATTGCTCATGCTTACAAGTGTTATGCGCTTTTGTGCAACATTTATTCTTTTGCGCACTATAGTTTTGACGTGTAAGCCAGTCTTAATCAGACTTAAATATAAGTATGTTTATATGGGCTACTATAACTGATTATATACAAAAGTGTCTTGAGATTTCATATGTCTAAGATGGCCATTGGTAATTATTTATGCATCATATAAATTCCATTCTCATTCAGTCTTTACCAAAGTTAGTAAAAACTTACAATAGATAATGAAAAAAGCAAATAAATAAATAAATAAATAAATAAATAAATAAATAAATAAATAAATAAATAGAATAAAATAGTTCACCTTGTATTCTTGTGCTGAAACCAGATGATAAATTTCGTATGTGTACTGACTATAGAAATTGAACAGCGTCACCATGATATCAAGAACTGATTACTGCATTAACATAATTAGTAATTGTAAAATGTCACCAAGTTTGATAATTTGAAAGGATTGTGACAAATTCCACTCATGGAAAGACGAAAATAAATTTTGGCATATCTAACTCCAGATAGACGTTTATCAATATAAATTGATGCCATTGGGTATGAATACTTCTCCCTCAACATTCTAGCATTTAATGACTATGGAATTTTCAGGTATAGATAATTGTGAATCTGAATTCCCAGATGATTCGATTTTGGGTATGGATGGATATTATACAAAATTTCCTCAGAAATGTCTATATTTGTTTAAATTCCAAACAATTTGTTGAGTAAGAAAACTAAATTTTATTTGACTAACAAATTTGAGGATACTTTTGATAAATTAAAGGCTATAATTTAGAATGCACATGTTCTTTCAGCTCCAATTATTTAAAATGTTTGTTAATGCATGTGATGTTGGGGTTTGTGGAATATTAATTCAAGAAGACAAAATTGTTGTCCATCATTCAGTGTGAAAATTCACTTTAAAGTGCCTATTAATTCAGCTTCTTCTCCAGTTATTATATTAGTGATCATAACCACTTACTTTCATGAACAAAATGAAAAACAAAAATCAGAGATTCTCAAGGTAAAGTTTGATGTTGCAATTTACAGCACTGACATTAGGCAAATTATGGAAAAAAGATAATGTAAATGCAGATGTACTTTCAAGTGTATAAAATACTATGCTGCTTTAATTAATATATATCTTTTGTCACTCATAAGTTAACTTCATTTGTAAGTTTTTTTCGTCAATACAATATTATTATTGGGCAAATAAATTAAGCAAAATATTTAATTCATAGAAAGAAAATGTCTATATATATATGCGAAAGAAGATTATGCCTAAAATATACTTATGTAGGTCAGAAATATATGGGACAATGCTGCATTGTATAATTTGAGAAGTGCTCCAAGTCAGTGCTGTCAAGAGAATATCGAATACACAATGTTACAAAAACTAAAATAAATTTTGCATTCTTATCAATGGATTGTTATAATGAAGCTAGAGTGAGTGGTTTTTTTAAAAAAAATCTTTTCTAAAAATAGATGCATCCACATGATTCTGCCATATGTTTTCATGGCATGCAAATAATTATCTTCCTGGATGAATGAGGATTCAAATAAAGATGGATGTAGAATCAAATTCTAAGAGATGACACCCATTACGGAAATAATCGATGTTGATCAGATGACACTTTCACTCGCTGTCCACTGAAATTGTGTGAATGCCAATTTCTTCTTTAAAATATGAATAATAAGCAAATGAGATGTATAAAGATAGTTTAAATATTTTATTTTCTCATTTTCACAAAACTGAAGTATCTTCAAGGACACAGTATCATTTGGTTACAATTCAAGCATAGTCAAGGGCATAAAAACCGATTTAAAAATTACAAGAACATTCAATGATATTCAAGCTTTGCATGACCCTTCTGGAATTGGTTTGGAACACACAATTCTTTTGGAATTTTAATAAAATTTGGGAGTACCGGTAGTTATTATTTAGTTCAACATACTGTAAGTTCCTTTTAAATTTTCATTTGATATATTAGAGAATTAATTTTTAGGTTAAAAAAAAAAAACAACTTGGTTTTGCTTCTTTCTGCTACTTAGTTTAAGACCATTGTCATGTTTGCTCAGTTCCAGCTATCAATTCATGTATAAACTAGGATATTACATTCATGTAGAAGTAAGCCATGTGTTTGATGTCTAAAGATTGCTGCAAGTTAGGGGTAATCTCTTATGCAAGTTTACGGGGGACCTGCCAGAAATTGGAGTTGACATAGGTTATCACTTGCGTCATTTGACAAAGGCTTGTAATATTCTCACCTAGGTGTTAAGAGTTTAGGTTAGGATCAAGGGAAACCTGTGGAGTGAATGGGGCCTGTTCTCAATCCATCCCCACGTGGACAGACAGCGAAACGACACTATCCGCTAAGTTGATTGGATCGGATCACAGCCATATAATCGGAATTGAGATAGAGGGTGAGACTACAATCTAAATCCGAATTATAACTTCGTAACTCATAAGCAGAAAGTTAGTTTCTCCTGTGAAGAAATTTGAGCAAATAGTTTTTTTGTTTTTTGAGAAGCCACGTGTAATTTGGCAGTAAAACTTAGAAACTGATTCTAAGGAAACAAAGCTTCAAAAAGATAATTAAGTTAATTGCTCAAATTTTGCAGAATATTTAGATATAAGTGTAATTATTTCTAGTATGTATATTTAATTACTAGCATTATTTAGTATGCATAATTACCTTTGAAGTGTTTCATTGACATGTGTATTTGAGAAATTGGCTTGAGTATTACGTAGAGAATTATGTACATTGTTAGCTCGTGGTCAGAATTAATTTTGTAATTTATTATTAGGTTACTTTGTAGTAAAAAAAGTGAATTTATCAATGTGTTATGTTAGAATGTACATATGTTTAAATAGTGAGTTTGGAAAATGGTTAAAGTGTGTAAGAATAGTAACTATAGATGTATGCATATATCAGAGTATGGATATTTGAATATTTGTGTACTTTGTATGAGTGTAAAGTAAAGAAATGCATCTAATTATTTTGATATTGTCTGTTTAACGGGATTGGGAGTAAGTACAGATGTGAAGAAATTAATTGATGTATGTATATGAGGTAATTGATACAATGCTGTATTATTATGTTGTTTTACCATACAAGAACATATGAATATTTCGATGTGAATGAATGTGTGACTGAAGAATTTAATAGCTGTTATCTGATGATAGGCTGGGTGTAGTGAGATGAGTGGGCTACAGAAAAATATTGGACTGTCCTTGTTTTTTCACAGTAAGCTTTTTGGAGGACAGCACTTCCGGTTCAGTTGAGTCCCAAGTCTCCAAGAGGAGACACGGAAGTGAGACTAGAAGAACAGTTGGGAGTTGGCACAAGTCTAGTCAGAGAAGTTGGAGGAGGAGGAGGAAAAGTAATCTAAAAGAGAAAGTGGATGAGGAGGAAAATGAGTATAGAAGTCGAAGAGGAGGATTTGTTTAGAGAATTCAAGGAGGAGAATGAATATCGAGAAAGTCGTGGAGAATGATAGAAGGAATTGGGGAGAAACAGTAGAGAAGAATACACAGACTAGTAGAATACAAGGAGAGGTGGAAATCTATCTCAAGCCAATCAAGTGATGCAATAGGCTATTAAAGGGTCGAGTGGACGAAGTGTACTTAGGATATTTGAATCATTTTACTACTGAATTGTTATTAAAATTGTTATTCACTGAATTTCACCCTTTCTCTATATTTAACCATATAACTGTCATCACTGCTCAGAGCTGTACATTTATCTTTCACTAATTAATTTCAACCAAAATTGAGTCTGGGTGGGACTTCTATAATAGTTTAGTTATAATGTTGGAAACACCCCACCCCAATCCCTACAACCTAATCCTCACAGTGGAAACATTCTTCACAATCATGAAGTTGTAGCATAGTACATGTAATTTGGCATTTGTACAAGATTAATATAATGCATTTGTAAACATTATCAAAATCTAAGAGAAACATATTTAGATAAACTTATGCATAATAATCCATCTCTTTAAATCTCAGGCTTTATGTCAACAAAATTCCTTTTCTTATTTACATAGTTGAATTACATGTATATTTAGATACCACTGCTGCATGGACAAGAAAATACTGTTCTAACTCAAGGCCTTACATTATGTAACAGAAAGTGAAACCAACAATTTAAGAAAGTTCCACTCCTGCTAAACAGTTGATCTCATATGTCACACTTTGATGATTTGTCCCCAGCGTGTACTGTCATATGATTCTTAAGATCCTCGCTCATATGCAATGTTTCATTACAAACTTCACACTTGAATGGTTTGTCTCCAGTATGTATTTTCATGTGTATTTGCAGATTTCCATTCTCACTAAACCTTTTATCACATATTTCACATTTAAATGGTTTTTCTCCACCATGTATCATCATGTGCATTTTTAGAGATTCAACACTATGATACACTTTA